TATTAAAGCATTAGACCTCTCACTAAAGGCTTCAGTCATACAAAAGTTATAATTAATTCCGAACTGGCTCTCTAGCGGATTAGTAAAAATATCTCACCCCATGTTCAAGAATGGCATTTTTCTCTTTATTCAGATTACAACCTCTCACTTTCGGTTATTTGAAAATGAAATAATTTCCAAAATATAGCTATTTTTAAAACAAGTCATAGAAAGTTGGTTGCAATTTCAGTTTAATCCACCAGAAAATACAGAACAAATAATACAACAAATATTATGGTTAAACTCATATACGAATTGATAAAAAAACATTATTTTCTGAGAAAATGTATAACAAATGGAAAGTCTTTGTAAATGATATCAGAAATAGGACTGGTGGAGTTGTCACACATGCATCTAACAAAAATATATGAAAATGTGTGCTCTACCCAAAATTACAACCCAACTATTTGCAGCGTTACCGCAAAAATTGAAGAGGCAAGTGGAAGGGGGAAAAAGTAAGGAACTTGTCTGTCGGCCCTGCATTAAATACCAAAATTGGTTAAAGAAAATGGTGATGAATAAAAAAGTAAACCAGGACAAACAAATTGACAGCTGTGCCATATAGATTGTAAAATAGTTGGGAAGAGATGTTTGATATAACGATTCCATGGCACATGGTTTATGAACTGATACTGATTAAATTATTTTACAAAATTCTTGCAACCAATAGAATCTTATTTTTATATATATATACACTGCTCAAAAATAAATAAAGGGAACACTTAAACAACACATCCTAGATCTGAATGAATGAAATAATCTTATTAAATACTTTTTTCTTTACATAGTTGAATGTGCTGACAACAAAATCACACAAAAATTATCAATGGAAATCAAATTTATCAACCCATGGAGGTCTGGATTTGGAGTCACCCTCAAAATTAAAGTGGAAAACCACACTACAGGCTGATCCAACTTTGATGTAATGTCTCTATCCCTTGCCATACCTCCGACGGCAGAGACAGACGCGGCCACTCTCGCCCATCCTCTCTTTTTGGTCTCTGCAGTGACCCCGCAGTTAGAGTCTCCCCAACAGCAACCTTTTCCTGGCTGCTATTTCCTCCACCATCACTTCAAGCTCTTGTTTGCTGAAGTTTTTATTGCACTTTCCTTGGTTATCCATTTTTGATATAGCTAGTCTGATGGCTATAATGTGTGAAAAATAACATTTGTTTTTGTGTATAAAGGGTTCGCGAGCCAACTAAAAAATTAATATTCTCGAGACATGAAGCAGATAAATAAATTTAATAAAATGGAAATATCAACACTTTATTATAATGGCCAAATCCTATCATTCCTGTTACATAGGCTTATTTATTGGTTTCAAGCACGTCACTGATGTCAACGCAACATGAGAAGATATTTACGAAGTTCTTAAGAAAGATATTTACGAAGTTCCTAAGAAAACGATGAATTCCTAAGAACGTTTTGAGGAAATGCACTTATGAACTTCTTATTTTTTTCCTTAAGAAACTTGTGTTCTGTGAATCCGGCCCCAGAGCCCTATACTATGAATATGGTTTGAGGAGTTAGCGAGGTAACTTTGGTCAACTCGGGATAACTGGTTACACGAAGTGGCTCACCTTTTAGCCAGGTCAATTTCTATGGCAACAAATCCTTCAGAACTAACCTGAACTCGAGGTTAACTCCACTTAACCTGAATGAAGTGTTTGAGCCATGAGTTGAGGACCAACAAAGTAGATTCCCTTCCTCTCGCAGAGTGTGTCATCATCCCTTCATTCTCCGCACCATATTTGAGAAGATGACTGATTTAAAATATTTTGTTAATAAAATGTTCTTGTGTGTTTAATTAAAAACATATATTCAAATACATATCACACAACACATTTAGTAATGACAGGACTAGGGTTGCAAAATTCCAGGAACTTTCAATAAATTCCCTGGTTTTCCCAAAATCCCGGTTGGAGGATTCCCGGAATCAGGAGGGAATAAGCAGGAAATCCAGAATCCTCCAGACAGGCTTTCTGGAAAACCAGGGTGTGCACTCATCTGCACATGTGGTTTCAGGAAGAAATTCTGCAGAGAATTTTTGGAGATGGCTGATGCATTTTCTCACTGTCTACCTCTGTGTATGGGTGATAGCCCCCCCCCCCCTCCGTGAGATCCAGTTGGAACTGGACATTTCTGGCCACTGCTGGCTCCCTGCCCACTCCCACAGGCCAGGCTCCATCAGCAGCACTTCCGGGAGTGTCTGAGAGAAGGAGGAGGAGCAGAGGGAAACAATTGGCAGGGAGAAGGCTGGAAAATTGAGAAGGGCATGGGAATATTGGGGTGTACTATTGAAGGAAATGTCTTGCAAATGTGAACATACAGTGCCTTCGGAAAAGTATTCACACCCCTAGACTTTTTCCACATTTTGTTGTGTTACAGACTGAATTTAAAATGGATTAAATGAGATTTTGTGTCACTGACCTACACACAATACCCCATTATATTTTTAGAATTGTATACAAATTAATTAAAAATGAAAAGCTGAAATGTCAATAAGTATTCAACCCCTTTGCTATGGCAAGCCTAAAGTAAGTTCAGGAGTAAACATGTGCTTAAAAAGTCACATACAGTGGCTTGCGAAAGTATTCACCCCCCCCCCCCTTGGCATTTTTCCTATTTTGTTGCCTTACAACCTGGAATTAAAATGGATTTGGGGGGGTTTGTATCATTTGATTTACACAACATGCCTACCACTTTGAAGATGCAAAATATTTTTTATTGTGAAACAAACAAGAAATAAGACAAAAAAACAGAAAACTTGAGCGTGCATAACTATTCACCCCCCCCAAAGTCAATACTTTGTAGAGCCACCTTTTGCAGCAATTACAGCTGCAAGTCTCTTGGGGTATGTCACTATAAGCTTGGCACATCTATCCACTGGGTTTTTTGCCCATTCTTCAAGGCAAAACTGCTCCAGCTCCTTCAAGTTGGATGGGTTCCGCTGGTGTACAGCAATCTTTAAGTCGTACCACAGATTCTCAATTGGATTGAGGTCTGGGCTTTGACTAGGCAATTCCAAGACATTTAAATGTTTCCCCTTAAACCACTCGAGTGTTGCTTTAGCAGTATGCTTAGGGTCATTGTCCTGCTGGAAGGTGAACCTCCGTCCCAGTCTCACATCTCTGGAAGACTGAAACAGCTTTCCCTCAAGAATTTCCCTGTATTTAGCGCCATCCATCATTCCTTCAATTCTGACCAGTTTCCCAGTCCCTGCCGATGAAAAACATGCTTCACCACCATGCTTCACTGTGGTGATGGTGTTCTCGGGGTGATGAGAGGTGTTGGGTTTGCGCCAGACATAGCGTTTTCCTTGATGTCCAAAAAGCTCAATTTTAGTCTCATCTGACCGGAGTACCTTCTTCCATATGTTTTGGGAGTCTCCCACATGCCTTTTGGCGAACACCAAATGTGTTTGCCTATTTTTTTCTTTAAGCAATGGCTTTTTTCTGGCCACTCTTCCGTAAAGCCCAGTTCTGTGGAGTGTACGGCTTAAAGTGGTCCTATGGACAGATACTCCAGTCTCCACTGTGGAGCTTTGCAGCTCCTTCAGGGTTATCTTTGGCCTCTTTGTTGCCTCTGATTAATGCCCTCCTTGCCTGGTCTGTGAGTTTTGGTGTGCGGCCCTCTCTTGGCAGGTTTGTTGTGGTGCCATATTCTTTCAATTTTTTAAATAATGGATTTAATGGTGCTCCGTGGGATGTTCAAAGTTTCTTTATATTTTTTTATAACCCAACCCTGATCTGTACTTCTCCACAACTTTGTCCCTGACCTGTTTGGAGAGCTCCTTTGTCTTCATGGTGCCGCTTGCTTGGTGGTGCCCCTTGCTTAGTGGTGTTGCAGACTCTGGGGCCTTTCAGAACAGGTGTGTGTATATATACTGAGATCATGTTACAGATCATGTGACACTTAGATTGCACACAGGTGGACTTTATTTAACTAATTATGTGACTTCTGAAGGTAATTGGTTGCACCAGATCTTATTTAGGGGCTTCATAGCAAAAGGGGTGAATACATATGCACGCACCACTTTTCCGTTATTTATTTTTTAGAATTTTTTGAAGCAAGTTATTTTTTTCATTTCACTTCACCAATTTGGACTATTTTGAGTATGTCCATTACATGAAATCCAAATAAAATGTCATTTAAATTACAGGTTGTAATGCAACAAAATAGGAAAAATGCCAAGGGGGATGAATACTTTTGCAAGGCACTGTAATAAGTTGCATGGACTTACTCTGTGTGCAATAATAGTGTTTAACATGATTTTTGAATGACTACCTCATCTCTGTACCCCACACATACAATTATCTGTAAGGTCCCTCAGTCGAGCTGTGAATTTCAAACACAGATTCAACAGCACAAGCAGTCTTCTGTCCAAATTGCTCTCTATTTGCCCTACAAAAGCCAGCGCCTTGCCATTTTTTCATCTACCTGTGAGTCATTGTTTGCTATAATTGGAATCTATGCACTTGTCATCTATTGTAGTAGTTCTATGCTACTCTCCCAACCTTGGTTGTTACTCAAGGTGATTTGATTGAAATCCGTATGGGCACGATCTGCTGAACATTTTGTGAAATTGGAACGATAGTGGCCAATATTTCAAGCCTAAATGCACTCGTGGGATAACTTGTATATTTAATTGGGCAATAACAGTGCCACTGCAAGACAAGTAATAGTATTACATATATTTTTATGTTAGGTTAACCTTCATTTTTTCCAACCTCATATAGAAGGTTGTTCAAACAAAACTGATTGTTGTTGAGTGTGTAATGGATTGATGATGTTTACGATATATATCAGATCTGTGAGCTATATCAAAATCTTGTGGATAGAGATGTCTATAATTGTAATTTTTTAGACAAAAGCACACCATTTCTGAATCATCAGAGTTCTTTACAGGGATTTACTCCTCTTATGTCTGATATGTGAGATTCTATGACATTCACAGTATGCTATTTTCCACTAAGCCTCTGTTCCTCTCCGGCAGCAGTGATTCCAGCAGTAGTTCGAGTGATGACTCGCCAGCACGTTCAGTTCAGTCTGCTGCCGTCCCTGCACCTTCAGCTCTGCCTTTATCAGCCCTTGACAAGGATGAGCATCGAAAAAGCTTTGGTGTCAAGGTCCAGAATCTTCCTGTGCGTTCTACAGGTGAGGATTTGACCCCTTTCTGCTGTGTATATACCATACATTGTCTAGTCTAGACTACGTGATCAATACACTTTTAGGTTTTGGTAATAATTACATGTTGAGTTAATGACATTGTTGTTGAGGCTCTTTGTACTGCAGATATGAATTAGTCACTATGTACAGTGCATTCGGAAAGTATTCAGACCCCTTGACATTTTCCGAAATTTGTTACGTTACAGCCTTATTCTAAAACTGATGAAATTGTTTTTTTCCCTCGTCAATCAACACACAATACCTCATAATGACAAAGCAAAAACAGGTTGTTAGACATTTTTGCAAAAACGGAAATATCACATTTACGTAAGTATTCAGACCCTTTACTCAGTACTTTGTTGAAGCACCTTTGGCAGCGATTACAGCCTTGAGTCTTCTTGGATATGATGCTACAAGCTTGGCACACCTGTATTTGGGGAGTTTCTCCCATTCTTCTCTGCAGATCCTCTCAAGCTCTGTCAGGTTGGATGGGGAGCGTCGCTGCACAGCTATTTTCAGGTCTCTCCAGAGATGTTCGATCGGGTTCAAGTCCGGGCTCTGGCTGGGCCACTCAAGGACATTCAGAGACTTGTCCCGAAGCCACTCCTGCATTGTCTTGGCTGTGTGCTTAGGGTCGTTGTCCTGTTGGAAGGTGAACCGTCGCCCCAGTCTGAGGTCCTGAGTGTTCTGGAGCAGGTTTTCATCAAGGATCTCTCTGTACTTTGCTTCGTTCATCTTTCCCTTGATCCTGACTAGTCTCACAGTCCCTGCTGCTAAAAAACATCCCCACAGCATGATGCTGCCACCACCATGCTTCACCGTAGGGATGGTGCCAGGTTTCCTCTAGACGTGACGCTTGGCATTCAGGCCAAAGAGTTCAATCTTGGTTTCATCAGACCAGAGAATCTTGTTTCTCATGGTCTGAGAGTTCTTTACGTGCCTTTTGGCAAAGTCCAAGCGGGCTGTCATGTGCCTTTTACTGAGGAGTGGCTTCCGTCTGGCCACTCTACCATAAAGGCCTGATTGGTGGAGTGCTGCAGAGATGGTTGTCCTTCTGGAAGGTTCTCCCATCTCCACAGAGGAACTCTGGAGCTCTGTCAGAGTGACCATCGGATTCTTGGTCACCTCCCTTACCAAGGCCCTTCTCCCCCGTGGTCCTCTGTAGTTCAGCTGGTAGAGCACGGCGCTTGTAACGCCAGGGTAGTGGGTTCGATCCCCGGGACTACTCATACACAAAAATGTATGCACGCATGACGGTAAGTCGCTTTGGATAAAAGCGTCTGCTAAATGGCATATTATTATTTATATTATTATTATTATTATTATTATCCCATGATTGCTCAGTTTGGCCGGGCGGCCAGCTCTAGGAAAAGTCTTGGTGGTTACAAACTTCTTCCATTTAAGAATGATGGAGGCCACTGCAATGGGGACCTTCAATGCTGCAGAAATGTTTTGGTACCCTTCCCCAGATCTGTGCCTCGACACAATCCTATCTCTGAGCTCTACGGACAATTCCTTCGACCTCATGGCTTGGTTTTTGCTCTGGCATGTACTGTCAACTGTGGGACCTTATATAGACAGGTGTGTGCCTTTCCAAATAATGTCCAATCAATTGAATATACCACAGGTGGACTCCAATCACGTTGTAGAAGCATCTCAAGGATGATCAATGGAAACAGGATGCACCTGAGCTCAATTTCGAGTCTCATAGCAAAGGATCTGAATACTTATGTAAATACATTTCTAAAAACCTGTTTTCGCTTCGTTATTATGGGGTATTGTGTGTAGATTGATGAGATTATACTTTTAAAAATCCATTTAGAATAAGGCTGTAACGTAACAAAATGTGGAAAAGGTGAAGGGGTCTGAATACTTTCTGAATGCACTGTATGCACCTGAAAGTATTTAGTCAAGCTTTTATTTTATCTTTGTTCCCTCTGTCAGATACAAGTCTGAAGGATGGCCTGTTCCATGAGTTCAAGAAGTATGGGAAGGTGACATCTGTGCAAATCCATGGAGCTTTAGAGGAGCGCTATGGACTTGTGTTCTTTCGCCAGCAAGAGGACCAGGAGAAGGCCCTGGGCGCATCAAAGGGGAAGCTGTTTTTTGGCATGCAAATTGAGGTCATCGTCTGGAATGGCCCTGGTGCGTCCACAACTGGTATATAAAGGGGCTTGAGTTTTTCCTAACAACTTTACCTGACCAGGAAAATCTCTGGGCTCTACCTTTTTAAACATGATTTATACAGGTTCATGAAAACATTAATTTCTCTTTTTAGAGACTGAAAGCGAGAATGAGTTCCGGCCTCTGGATGAGAGGATAGACGAGTTTCACCCCAAAGCCACACGGACTCTGTTTATTGGCAACCTGGAAAAGACCACCAGCTACCATGACCTGCTCAATATCTTTCAGCGATTTGGGGAGATAGTGGTATGTAAAATACATTCAGCATGTTGCAAAGGAGATTTTGTGAGGGAGGAATTGTCTAATTCAACACTGCCTCTCTTAATTTAGTGTTGCCTTTCTTTCCATTCACATAGGATATTGACATCAAGAAAGTTAATGGTGCCCCTCAGTATGCCTTTCTACAGTACTGTGACATTGCCAGTGTTTGTAAGGCCATAATGAAGATGGATGGAGAGTACCTCTGCAACCATAGGCTAAAGGTGAGGAGAGTATTATAACTCACATTTCACAAAACACTTATTTTGAATGTACAACTGAGATGTTTAGTTGTTGATAGGTGTGACTGGAGTATTGTCAACAGGATAATATTGTTGATATGTTATTTATCCCTCTTTTTACAGCTGGGATTTGGAAAAAGTATGCCCACAACTTGTGTTTGGTTGGATGGTTTAGCCTCCAACATCACAGAGCAGTATCTCACTCGTCATTTCTGTCGTTATGGACATGTTGTCAAGGTAAGCCTGCTGCTTATTCCTGTTTATGCCCTTTTCTCATAACACATCCCCATGTCATTCCACATGGTATCTAAAGAAAGATCATATAGTTTTATAAAATTTTTGTCATACTTCTCTCCCCTCCCACAACAGGTTGTATTTGACAAACCCAAAGGAATGGCCCTTATCCTGTATAATAACATAGATTATGCGCAGGCCGCTGTCAAAGAGACCAAGGGTTGGAAGATGGGTGGCAACAAAATTAAGGTCAGCAAAAAAAATATCTTATGAAATAGAATCCCTGTCAGTTGGGGGAATAGGCCAGATGATTGAAGACCATAGTCCAAACAATGATTTTTGTCTCTGCCTTATCAATTTCCATGTGTTTTTGTTTGCAGGTGGACTTTGCCAATCAGGAAAGTCAGATGGCTTTCTATCGCTCAATGCAGGCATCTGGGCAGGACATTCGCGACTTCTATGAAATCCTATCTGAACGAAGGTTTGTATAATTTAGCTCTAGATTTCTTTTGTCACATATCCCCACTAAAAAAATAATATAATGATTTTGGTTTCTCTGTATATTTTTGTATTTTTCAGGGATGAACGCAGGCCGCAGTATGATTTTACAGCTGAACGGCCATTATTTGACAACAGTGTGCGAACACCTGGAGGAGCCTTCATAGAAGACCCCCGTCGCAAGTTACCTGCCAGAGGCCGAGAGTTCTACACTGAATGGGACCCATACCAGGGGGATTTCTATGACCCACGTTACTTTGATGACCCGCGTGAATACAGAGATCACAGAGACCCCTATGAGCAGGACATCCGCAAATACAGTTACTTGCAGAGGGAGCGTGAGAGGGAGCGCTTTGAAACAGACCGTGAACGTGACCATGGGCGGAGGACAATTGAACACAGCCAGAGCCCTTCTCACCCTAATCACCCTGCCAGTCCTACAGTGTCCCCCTCCCTCTCTGAGCGTCTACCAAGTGACTCTGATCGCTGCATTTGCTGTAGATCCTCAGAGCAAAGTTGCAGCTGCAGTTCACTCTCACCTCCAAGATTTGACAAGCCTGACAAGGCGCGCCCTGACCGGTATAATAAGAGCGATAAGCCAGAGAAGGAGAGATCCTTTGAAGGTGAACATGGTATTGGGGGTGAAAAGGAAAAGCGGGCTGGGCGCAAGGAGAAGGGTGAAAAGGAGAAAGGTGAGAAACCGAGGCTGAGGAAATTAAAATTGCAATCTACCAGCATTCCATCACCTGAGACGGACCCTGAACTTGAAAGAGAAGATAGTCCAGGCCTTCGAAGCAAAGTCAGCAAGTTTCCTCCTAAGGAAAAAGAAGGCTCGGGCAAAGGACAGCTAGACCTACCACCTTGTGTGGTGCAGCTAACGCGTGTGAAGGAGAAGGAAGGAAAATTGCTTGGTCATGCTGTCCTAGAAAAACAAAGACTTAGAGGTGAGAATGACAGTATTCGGCTTGCATCACCTTCAAGTGACCAGAACAGTCCTTCCTTTCGCATAGATCCTCAAAAAGGAGATATAGTCAAGCATAGGAAGGTGCCCAAAGACAAAAACATGGCGAGGCTGGTTGAAGTTGTGGAAAATGATGGTAAAATGAATGCCAAAAAACATATGAAAGCTGGTCCTGGGTTTGATGGTTCTAACTCTGTGGATGTTGACCGTCTAGCTGCACGAAAGAGGCGTTTTGAAGAATCCATGCTGAAGACCGATCGACTGAAGAGGGCCAGTCAGGAAGAGGAGGAGGGTGGTAGATTGGGACTTAGGAAGACAGCTGACAGCGCTATGGCAAAGGAGAATAAGGGTGACAAGAGCCTATTTGCAAAAGGGGTTCATAAGAAGGAGCATCGCAAGGCTAAATCTGAGAGACTTGTTACTGTTTGCAGTCCTAAAGATAAACAAGAGTCTGATATTGACTCCATGGGAATGGGCCTTGGACTCAGTTTGGAACTTCAGTCACGACTTGGAGAACCAACAGAAGATGAAATAGATCCATTTGACCCACCCTGTCTGAAAATGGAGTTTTGGGGATCAAAAATCCAGAGTAGTTTAAGTCTCATGAAAATATCTGATGGGAGTCTTGACCAGGATGCATTCAATGTACAGCCGCAAGAAGACAATGGCGAGCAGGGTGTGGGACTATACAAAAGCAGAGAGGAGACTGAGGAACGACTTGCGTCTGATATTGACCACTCTCAGAGCTGCAAAAAACAAATGGAACAGAGCCGACAGCTTTGGCAGAAGCTAGAAGAGCCTGACAAATCAGATAAACTTGAAAGCCCACAAGGCAGCAACACAGAGGACTTTGAAAGATGCAGTCTGTTGCATGAGGTAGGAAAACCACCTCAAGATGTCACAGATGATTCTCCATCTAACAAATGTAAGAGGTCTGAGAGTTTTGACTTTGACTTGCTAAGTGCTAAGAGAGAACGACACTACAGGTCTTCTCGGGAATTAAATGAAGACCTTGGCCGGAGTGTCACAGCCTTTTCTGGCTCTGATCACTTTCCCTCAAATGAAGAAGTGTGTGCTTCCCAGTTATCACAATCAGTTACCAATAAAGAGACTAAAGACTCTCCTAAAGAAGATGACAAAGTCTTCTCACATGTAGATTCATTGAAATACAGCTTGGACATGACACCCAATCGTCTCAGTTCCCCGAACACAGAATTTCCTAAGTCTAAGACAACATTGCTTGGGTGTGATGAGGAGCTACTCCAACGATGGGAGAGCAGAATCGAATCTGACTCCCTCAGAATGGACATGACCTTCCCCAGTAGCATTGTGAAACGTGAAAACATTCGCAAACGTCTTGTGCCTGAACTAGAGCCTGGAGAAGTACAGTCAGATTCAGATAATGATAGTGAGAACAAAAACCACTCCCCTAAGCCCAACACCTCACTGTCCTCTATCCTTAGGGAACGTGAAGAAAGGTTGACAGACCTGAAGTTCTCAGGCTCCCTGGAGAAGAACAAGTTCTATTCTTTTGCATTAGACAAGACTATAACTCCAGACACAAAAGCACTTCTTGAGCGAGCCAAGTCATTGTCCTCCTCAAGGGAGGATAATTGGTCCTTTCTTGACAGAGACTCTCGCTTTGCCAGTCTTCACAGTAGCTCAGACAAAGAAAAGGTAGAGTCTGCACCACGACCTATCCCGTCTTGGGACATGAAGAAGAAGAAAATTCGTACTGACTCTGAAGGTAAACTGGATGACAAAAAGGAGGACCCCAAAGCAGAGGATCAGCAACGGCAGGAGCTGTTTGCCTCTCGTTTTCTTCATAGTTCAATCTTTGAGCAAGATTCACGGCGTCTGCAACATCTTGAGCGCAAAGATCCAGATCCTAAGTTGGGATTTGGCAGACATCTTTCCAAACAGGATTCTGTCGAAGGACAACCTGAGCCAGGGGGAGTGGACCTTCAAGAGCCCATAGTGCTTTTTCATAGCCGCTTTCTAGAGCTTCAACAACAGAAGGAGACCTCAAGGGACCACTTTCCAACAGAAATTGAAAGTGTTGATGTGGTTGATGAGAGTGAAGGAGAACAAGTTCAGAATGAACAACAAGAAGGGTCTCCCAAGGTTTCAGAGTTCATGCAGAAGGCTGATATTAAATCAGTCGGCCCTTCTCTCATCCTGCCAATTTCACAGTTTCTTCCTTCACCCAGAGAGATATCGCCACAGCAGGAGAAAGAGGCTATTTTAACTTCCTCATCTGAACAGACTGTCTCACTGATTAAAGAGGAACAAGTGGAACATAATCGTGATGTGTCCCCACCCCAATCTCCTCCACTAGTAGAGATCCAACCCCCATCCTCGATTGTAATCACTCCCCTATGTCCTGTCCTTTCAGAGGCTGAGGTTAAAGTTGAACCTAAAGAGGAATTATGTGAACCCAAAGTTACAACCGAAAGCAATGTTACAGTGGATCATGCATCTTTCTTTGATGTTAAGCCTCCCACTCCTGGTGCCTCATTAAGTAGTTTTGAGGCAGAGACTGCCGAATTCCCCTGCTCTGCTTCCCACAAGATTGAAGAGAATATGGACATGGTAAAGATGGAGGTCCAACCAGAGAAACCAGATTCTAAGGACTTTGACACACCTCATAAATCTGAAGCTTCCCAAGAGGTTCACATGCCAGTTTCAGAGACCGAAATGAAACCAGCAAAGCCAATTGGCAAACAACCCAAGAGTAAAAGGGCTAAGCCAAATGTGTCCGTAACACAAATCCTGAATCCCCCCGAAACAATTGTCTCTGAGAAACCAGTTACTCGAAAGAGTGAGCGAATTGACAGAGAGAAACTGAAAAGGTCTTCATCTCCACGAGGAGAAATATCATCAGAGCCTATAACCACAGCCAAGTCACCAGTTCATGCCCTTGATTCTGAGAATGAATCAAGCCTAATCCTCGGAAGGACCAGACGCCGAAATGTTCGGTCTATTTATGCCACACCATCTGAAGAGGAGGCCCAGCCACCAGGTAAAGAGGTGGTGGATTATTTACGCGCCACACGTAAGCGTGGTGTTGACAAAGAACCAGTGCAGCAGCTGCAGCAGGACGCATTGAACACATCTACCAACACAAGGCGAGGTAACCCACCCAAGTCACGCAGGCGAGGGGAAGATGTGTCACCAGTGAAAGGAGACTCACAGAAAACATCAGAGGAAGACATTGATATCAAAGAGCCTGTGAACACTGGAGAGGGTTTAAGAATGTCTGAGGGTTGGCATTCACCCCATATGCAGAAAGTGCAGAACACTCATGTGTCTTCACCTACTGGAACCTCTGTTGGCAGGAAAGCAAGTAGAGTAGACAAACAATCTGAGAGTGCAACATCACCAGGAGAGAAGTCAGGTGATAGTACAACTACTGAAGAGCCCAAAATAAAAGATGAGTCCGAAGAAGCAGGGAAATTATTAGAGGAAGCAAAGCAATGCTTGCCAACACAGAAAGACGAAAAAGACAAAGAGCTAACTGATCAAATTGCGAAAAAATCTTCTGAAGGGGATATTGAGAGGATAGAATCTACCTATGTGGAGAAAAGACAACAATCTGAAAAGAGTGGGAAAGTAAAAGAACCAAGGTTGACACAAAATTCCAAATTGGTGACAGAGGATAAATTGCATTGCTTGAGAAACCTTGAGATTCGTGTAAGCGTAGATGATGTGAAAGGGTTGCTTTGCTCTGGGGAGGATGAGTCTGAATCTTTTGAGACCACTGCTAAAAATGCCAAACCAGGAGTTCCAAATAAAGAAGAAACAAGGACTCAGTATCTGAAAGAAGCAGCAGAGCTCAGCCCAGAGGAAAGGGACGTTCTATTAGGGCTTGAACCACCGGTGGACCCAGCAGCCGCTCTTTTGGCACGTCAGATGGAACTGGAACGGGCAGTGGAGAATATTGCCAAACTTACAGTTGAGAAACCTCTTCAACCCTATAAGGAACCACCTGCAGAGCCACGTACCCTGCTGCCCCCTGTCACTGTAGAACCAGATAATGAAATAGAGGGGGAGAAGTCAGCTAATCCTGCCAGTGAAACCGAACTGGCTGCTGCTATTGATTCCATTACTGCTGAAGACATATCTACTGATACAGATGGGTTCACAGCTCCTCCCACTTACACTGCACTTGTTCCTACCCCAGAGCCCCTGGTCTCACCCTCTGCCAATGAGGTATTGGCACCAGAAACACGCATTATTGACCCAGACCCAGAGATGGGAGTTCTAATTCCCAGTGACAAGCCCTTGACGCCAGATGCTAAAGCCTCTGAATCATCTGTCTCTGGGGCCTCTGCCCAAGATGAGTCTCCCCCCCCCCCTGCAAAGAAACTAA